GGAGCGAAGCTGGGGGGTCGGCCCCGGTGTGGAGGGTTCGCGTCCCGGCCCTCTCCCTACGGAGGAGTCCGCTTCTTGACGCTCCTAAATGTCGCGGCCCACGAGTCACCCCTGCGACGCGAAATTGAGAAACTTACTTGTTTTGTCATGGAGTCAATGAGGCGCACGTAGAAATCCTGCTCCGTCCTTATCCCTGAGGAAGCGGGGGGAGGGGATAAGGAAACGAAGGAGAATTAAATGAGAGAGGATCTGCAGGGGGGGGGGGAACAAAAAAAAATGGGGCTCCAAGGCTGATGGAACTTCAAGGGTCCCAGAGAACCAAAGCCAGGAACCTCCTTCCCCAGGTCCAGAGTAGGGCCTCTGGCCTAGCCCTGGCGCTCTTGGGAGCCAGCCCCCAAGCACCACGGTGGGGAATGGGGCGGGCCCCCCACCTGGCTACTCTACCTTCCCGCCGCGGGAGCCCCTCTGCGCGCTCTCCGGGAGCCGTCAAGGCCGAGACCGCTCGAAGCACCCTGAGTGAGCCCAAAGGATTCTGGGCCTAGAGTCTGAGCTAAGACGAGGGAACTGACCTGAGCAAGCGGTGGAAGAAAACAAAAAGCGGCCTAACGAGGGCCGAGGAGCCACACCTGGCCCCAGGTACGCGCAGGCCCAATATGGCCGTCCTCGGGCCACTCGGGGACTCCCCAGGTGAAACCGCTTGAGGCGAAACTCAGGTGAAGCCGGTTTACCCCGAGGATGGTGGACGACTGAGTTTTGCTGGTGCTCATGTGCCCCACGCCCCCCTGCCCTCACCCGGAGCCCCGGGGTGCCGGCGCGGACCCGACGTGAGCCTCACCATTACTGTAGAGGAGCTGGAGCCGGTAGTGAATCCCGTTATTGGTCTTTTCGCTGTTGGCTTCCTAGGTTGCATCAGGACGCAAAGACACAAGAGACGCAGGAGAGAGGTCTGCGTGAGCTAGTGGACCGACTTCGAGGCACCTTTCCCCATCCGGGCCCCCCGGCCGGGGAGCCGGACAGGCATGAGAGCAGCAGAAATTGTGGCCAACTGTGATCTCTCTGCCGCACCCCCTACCCGACCCTTGCTGCTCCCTCTTCCCTTCCAGAAAATTACGTGGGGCGCGCACAGGCGATCCCCTTCCCCTGGGGACTCAGGCCTGGGCCAGCAGAGGCAGGAACCGCGCGTAGTCGCGCGGTCGAGGACGGGGTTCATCCCTGGCTCCCTTGATTCTGGAGTGCGAATCCGGGCTCGCTTCTCTCCAACTCTGGGGGCTCCGCGCGAACTTTTTTGGAGCAGAGTCTCATGGACGAGGAGCCCGGATTCGCCCAGGACGGGAAGTGGCTTGGGGGACCCCGCGCAGGAATGTGTTATGGATGCTTTGCACTGGCGGAGGAGCTCGCCTCCCGAAGCGCCTGGGCCTGCTCCCAGCCCAGGGGCGAGGGGCAGCGGCGCTGCGCCCACTTACTTTTTCCTTCTCCACGAACCCCACAAAGGCTGTCCTCTCGATCTCCACGGGCTGGCCCTGTCTGTCGTAGAGGGCCAGGACGAAGTGGAAGAAGTTGGATTTCCGCAGATTGGAAGGCGGCTGCTTCTCAAAGTGAGCCCGGGCCAGACCCACCCCGCTGCGACCAAAGACGCAGAGTTAGACGGCTAAGTGGGACCCCGATCCGCGACCCCCGTCTCCCTTTACACACTCGCCTCCTCTGCCCCCAAATGCCCAGTGGGCGCCCAACACGCCCACTCAGGCTTCCCGGGCCCACCCGACCACGGAACCTGCGTATTCTCGTGTGTCCTGTCCTCCCCGCGGAGCACAGGGCGCGCCCCCAGAACTCTAAGAAGCTCTATGAAAAGTTTTGTTTGGTTTTGCGCAGGAGGTAAATCGTTGTAAGCATTTACTCCAACCTGACGCGCGCTGCGTGGGAAGGAAGAAAAGTGGCGGTGGAGAAGGCGAACCCGCGTTCGCGGAATAGAGCGGGTCGTTTACAACTTAGAGGGAGGGGGCATGGGAATTGGTTCCCGCCAACCCCTTCAATCTCTAGTCTTAGCTCCTTGGGCAGGTGAGAAGGGATGGGGAACATGGTCAGCTTCTCGCTGCAGCAGCTATCCTCCAGGAAACCTCAAGCGCCCCTGCCAACCTGGGGTGCCCGGCCTCGGGAAGCCACATGCCCGCCACCCCCCCCCCAAATAAAATATGTGGAGAAAAAGGATCTAAAGGTGGAACTCAGAACTGTCGGGTGGTCGCTGTGGGGAAGGGAACTGGGAGTGTCCTGACAAAGTTTTGCTGTTCAGCAGAAATCCTCACATTCATTCCAGAAATCCTATGGGCCAGGGCTGCCGGCTGAGCGCGCCGGCCGTGGGGCTAGAGGCTGAGACGCCAAGGGAACAGGGCGGCCACTGACAGCCGGACCTGCCCAACACAGGGCTCGCCCTCGCGCGCGCGCGCGCACACACACACACACACACACACACACACACACACACACACACACTTACACACACTTTCACTTCCAGCCCAGTTACCCAGCTCACTCTCACTACCTACCACCCCCATCTTTACACACAGTGGGGATGGAAACGGTGTTACGGACACTTGTCCGCTGCCTGGACAAAATGAAGATGATGTAATTAGTCATCTTCGTTCTTCCCCTTCCGCCCTGTCTGAGTTTGATAGGGGCCTGGGGTGCCAGATCTCCCACTCCCCCAAGCCCAGCTAATGGCCTGAAGAAAAAAAAAGGGGGGCCATTTCTCACTTAGGACCAGGAGTCCCGTAAAGAGTGCTGAGGGTGCCCAGGGAAGTTCCCCCAAGTCAATCTCCAAAAGCAGTGCCTCCAGGCCACACAATTTAGCATCCCAGGAGCTGAGTGCGAGAGGGGCTAGAAGGGGCCATGGTGACAGAAGGTAGGGAAGACTTTTAGGAGATGTCAGAATTCAAGTTGGGACTTGCTGTTCTCAGGGGTTGACCAAGAAAAACTGAAAGCTGGAGAGGGAGGGAGGGAGGGAGAACCAGATAGAAATAAGAGAAGATTCTGTGGCAAAATGGAGAAAGAAAAGGAGTTAAGGGAAGGAGGGAGAGGAGAGAGGAGGGAGGAGTGGAGAAAAGGAGGGAGGAAAGAAGAGAGGTAAAGAGGAAAAGAGAAAAGGAAAGGACATAACGAAGGAAGAAAGGAAGGAAGGGGGAAGGAAGAGAGAGAGAAAAGGAAGGAGAACAGAAAGTTTAAAAAGGAGGGAAGAAAGGAAAGAAGAGAAAAGGAAGAACGAAGGCAAGAAAAGGAGAAAGGAAAGAGAAAAAAGAAGGGAAGAGGAGAGAGAGAGAGAGAGAGAGAGAGAGAGAGAGAGAGAGAGAGAGAGAGAAAGAAAGAAAGAAAGAAAGAAAGAAAGAAAGAAAGAAAGAAAGAAAAAGAAAGGGAAAGGAAAGGAAAGGAAAGGAAAGGAAAGGAAAGGAAAGGAGAAAAAAAAAAACCCAAAACAGCCGGCCAGAAAAGAAAGAGCAGTCATAAAAACACAGATATCCAGCATCATGCTGGTGAATCGCCTCTCGCCTCTTCTGGCTTAAAACAAAATGAAAACAGTCACAGACAAGGCAAGAGAAAGTGCGGGTAAAGCGTGGGCTCCTCGCAGGGAGCTCCCGGCTCTCCCGGCGCAGACAACCAAGGCAGCACGGCCGGGGAGCGCGGAGCCTCGGAGGCGAGCAGAGCCGAGCGGCGAACGCGCGGGCGCGGGCAGGCCCCGCGGCAGCCGCCGCCGCCGCTGTCTCCCGGCTCCTCTGCCCGCGGCTCGCCTCCCCGACCGCGGTCCCCGATCGGTACCCACCTCTGCGCCGCCGTGTTGGCGTCCAGAACCCCGGCGCCCTGCATCCACGTCCGCACCGCGTTCATGCCGCTGCCCAGCGGCTCTTCCTTCATGCTGCTTCCACTCCGTTGGATGCTTTCCTGAATCCCAAACATGAAAACAACCTTTTCTTGTGGAAAATCTCCTCCCCCTTGAAAATATTAAAAAAAAAAAAAAAAGGAAAGAAAAACGCCAGCCAGAGATTTTTTTTTTTTTGAGACGATGAACTCGCGCTAGTAGATCAAGGCGGGCTGGAAAGCAAATTTTTAAAAAATGTAAACCGTCGCTCAAAACTGAGCGATAACCCAGAAAAAAAGGAGAGGAAAAAAGGGAAAATCCAAAGAAAAGACCAAAATTTAAAAAAAAAAATTGAGATGTATGCTTGGCTGTTGGGGGTTGTTTGGTCGGTTAATTTTGGTTTGGGTGCTTTTTTTTTTTTTTTTTTTTTTTTTTTTTTTTTTTTTTTTTTTTTTTTTTGTAATGATCACAGGCCGGTGGAGGGCAGGAGGGGCTGGAGTTTCCTTTTGCAGAGGTACCCTTCACTTGAAGAAGCAGGAAGAAAAAAAAAAAAAAAAGCCCTGATGGCAATTTAAGAAACAATAGACTCAACTCGCGCTGCCGGCTTTGCTACTTCAAGTGTCATTTTCCACAACCAGGCAAGTTTTTTTCCTCTCTCCTTTTTTTTCCTCCTTCTCTCCCAACCAAAGATGTTTCTTTCCTTCAGTGCGTATTAGATGAGGAGGACGCTGGTTGCCGTAGACAGAAACACCAGAGAGGGAGACTGGGGTGGGGGGAAGGGGGGAGAGAGAGGGAAAGAGGAAGGGGGGGGGAGGGAAAGAGAGAGAGAGAGAGAGAGAAGGAGAGGAGAGGGAGAAAGAGAGAGGGGTGGACCCTGCTGGATGGAGATTCTGTTTTCTCCTTGCTAAAATAGAAGTGATTTGCAGGCTTTCCCTATGGAATCCAGTTTGACTCTCCCCAGAGCTAAACACAAGCACACTAACCCCAAAGGGAGGAGGCGGGGCCCATGCCTCGCAGGCCGGCCCCTTCATTTGCATAACGTCATCCTTCCGCCTCTCTGCAGCCAATCATGGCTCAGGAGCCTGCTGGCTTGCAGTGCAGGGCCACGCTCCCTCATTAACATCCCTACCCCGGCGGCGCAGGGGAGCCGGCCAAAGTTCCTTGCAAAGTGGCGAGCAAAGGATCGCTGAGCTCTGGGCGTCTGAGCTGGGGAGAAGAGGGGCTGAGCAGGACAGAGTCGGGCAGGAGAAGGGGGACAGCAGGAAGGAGAGGGGAACATTCTTCTCAGGGATTTGAGCTGGGGTCTGCATCCTGGCCGTTGCAGTCTGTTTAGCATCCTCGCCGCGCGCGAGCGCGCTCGAGGAGCACAGGCTGCACCCTCCCAGGGCCGGTGCTGCGTCCTACTCCGCTGTTCTGGGACGTCGGGGGCAAAAGTGGAGGAGACGGGAGAGCCCGGGCAGAAAAAGCAGGACGCGCGTCCCAGGTGCCCACCTCTTCGCTTTGAGGAGGGGGTGGTGGGGTGGAAAATGGGTGCTCGAGGTCGGGGCTGGGAACTTGCGGAGGGTACTGCCTTCACGCTGGAAGGGGTGGGTGGACCCTGGGGCCGGCAAGCGAGTCGCTGTGGGTCCCCAGGGTGTGGGAGACCGGGCTCTGCCCCTAGTCTGGCCTCTGAAACGCTTCTCGCTTGGCCACTAGCCTCGAGGCCGCAGGCGTTGAGAGGCACTGACCTCATAGATTCACTTCTCTCGAGTAATCCTCAGGATATGTAAACGGTGGAATGAACGCTGTCCCTGGAGCTGTGTCTGGATGCGTTTTAAAATGGACTCAGATTCGATCCTCAGCCCCTCCCCCAAAGCAGTTTTTCTTATTTTAGAGTAACTGCCAAAGCAACAAAGTCTGATTAGTTGTTTATTTGCTGTAGGGTTTCTCCCTTCCTCATTCTTTTGGTTAAAATATGGGGCTTGAACAAACACCAACTTCTGCCCCTGCAGTATGTCAAAAGGGATCAAGGAAATTAAGGGAGGGAGGAAGGGAGGAAGAGAGGAAGGAAGGAAGGAGAGAGCAATGGTCATTACCTCAGTCCTTCCGCATATATGCTTGTGGCTGGCAAAGGAAATAGCTAGATGTTTCTGGGTAATGTCCCCCATCATTTTTTAGCAGGTTGTAACCTCTAATAAGCACATGGTGAACTTCTGTTTCATTGCCCTCAAAGGAACTCCCTGACTGCAGCCAAATCTGCTAAGGACTCCTTCGGGGAAATTCTCTGCCAGAAATCCAGGTCCCCTTTCTGCCGGCCTTGCTTGGCCCTTTGATTTAGGAAGCTCATGGGGTCAGTGATGGAAAAGTATACATGCCCATGTTGAATGGAATGGAGACAGGCAAGAGTTATGCTTTGTACTCTTGGCAGAGCAGGAAAGTGGGAGCCACTTCCTGATTCCTAAACTAGATGCAAGACACTGTTCCAGGCCTGCCAGTACATGGTCACTGTCCTCAAACACTGCTTTATCTCTTATGCACAAAGCCTCCCAGCTCTCATACCATTTAATCCAGACCACCAACAGGCTGATCACTTTCTCTCTGCTACCATAATTAATGCCATCTCTTCCAAGACACTTCTGAAGAGATCTGTCCAATCCATCAGGATTCCCACAACATCTACTAGAGTTCCTGGCACATAGTAGGTGCTCAGGAGGGGTATCTTGGTGCTGAGACTTGAAGGATTATAGGTTTGTAGGGAGGAGAAAGGGGGAGCTGGACCTTCTCTATCTCTATAGAATGTAAATGCACTATGGAAACTGGACCTGCTGAAAACTTCCCAAAGCTCCAAGTTTAACCTCCAACGCCCACAGGGTCTCCAAGAGACAATCCCTTCCCCTGCCTGCTCTGAGAGGACCCTTCAAGGAAGGGGGACCAGAAAGCAGAGGCCACCATCCTATCAATGAGTACCAGGTAACGCTCCATTTTACTCTGCAGTAAACAGTGTTTAGGACTCCAAGTTGAGTCTGATGAGATACATACCTCAGTGATGGGGAACACACAGTAGGGACCATATCACTGCCAAACGGAGGCTGCAAAGGTGCCAGAGAAAGGACATACCTAGGCACTCTGAGGACTAGAAGCAGTGAGAGGCACAACAGAAGGGGCGGGCAGGGGGGAGGTGTCAGGGAGAATATAGAAGCACTCTGCAAATGATGTGTTTGTTGAGGGGCCTTAAGCTGCCTGATTCAAAAGAGAAATTAGCCAAGAAAAAGAAGCTTTCAGCAGCCCAATTCCTGTTCCAGAGCCAGTAATCTCCAGGAACTAAATAAGAGGGGGCAATCTCCACATCTGCCAGGCCATAGAAGGAGTAAAAATAAAAGGGGGCAGGAACCTTTTGATAAAACTAAATCCCTTTGGCTGCGTGGAGGCAGTAGATACCTTACCTGGAATGGGGAGTGTACTTTATTTTAATGAAGCAAAGTATATTCATAGCTTTTCTTCTGTTGTCCTTGTGCTTTCAACCTGGCTTTCTAACGCAGTAATAAATGTTTAAGTAAGAAGGAAGCTAAAGAGAGGGTGGAAAAAAAGACAGAGAGAGTGATAGAAAACGGTAGATGACACCCAGGCCAGCAGAGCCATAGCTTTTTGTGGATTTCCTCTCGTGAATATTGAACTTGCAACTGCAATTTTTACCTTAAAAAAAAAAATCCCTTCAACACTCTTCAATCTTCCCTGATGTAAGGTTAGCACAACCTCCAGAAGCAAGCATGTGTATGGAGGGGTGACTATAAAGGATGTACTGAGACTGGCTTCATCCGTTTTGCATGATAGCCACATCTTCTATGAAGAGAGATACTTGTATGTATAGCATTGCCCAGGGTTTATAGCATATCTGTGATAAACGTCTTTAGAGTAGCTTGTAACGCTGATCCCCAAAGCCGCTGGTCAGCCCCTTGTCCAGACTTACAGAATTAGGAAGGAAGAAAGTGAGAGGAAAAGAACCTGTGCATGAGGAAAACATAGCAAAATGGGTTTCCATGTGCAAGGAGCAATTGGAAAGGCTTGATATTTCCCCCTGGAGTTAAGTCTCCCGCGGAGCTTCTCAGAGTTCCTTCCGAGGTCGAGGTGAGCATCCCCCTACCTCCCTCTCAATTGCTCCAAACAGTAGACAGAGCTGCCCAGCCCCCGCGGGAGGAAGGTTAGGCCCAGTGAGTAATTCCCCCCACCCCACCCCGAATCTTGACGCTTTCTCACTACCCCAACCCTCGTAAGGAACAGGGAAACCAATTCCCTTTCCTGAAAGGACATCAGTCTACGCGGGGGTGCGTGTGGAAACACACCCTCCCCCCAAAAGAGCAGAGACGGGAAAAATACAGCCAAACTAGGACTAGCAGGGACGTCCCAGGGAAAAAGGGATCTTCTCTGCTTGTCCGCCCCCCGGAGGCAAGACTTGGGACCTCTCACTTACAAAATTCCCTCGATCTCCGTTCCTCTTAGGAAGACAGGCGCCCCAGAAGGGCCATCTATCCGGGGAAATGTCCTCTTCCTTCTGCTGCTAGCCAGAGACCGCCGAGAGTGAGACCGGAGGGAAGATGCCTCCTTCAATGCTGGGAAGAAAGCAAAGGGAAAGATGCAGCGATGAAAGCAAGGCACAAAGTCCTTCCGCCCGCGCGGCCCTCTACGAAGGCGTCGACTGACAGCCTGGAGTCGTGGGCGGGGGTGAGGCCAAGGCGCTGCTGGCAGGAGACGGATAGGAGTAGGTAGCGGCCCGGAGCCCTGAAAAAGCGAGGACCTGAGCCAGTCGCAGCTCCGCAGGGGCCCCTGAGCGGCACTCAGACTCCCGCGGGGTGGCGGAGCAATGCGGCCCGGCACCCCCTCGCACAAAACGCTGCCGGTGCCGCTCTAAGACCTCTACCCCGTTGCCCTCCAGGAACGCGTTGGAGCTGCAGGCCAAGGTTGACCGGAAATCCGTCCGTCCTCCCTTCTTTCTTTCAGCCATCTCTGGCAAGCCGCAGAGGGAAGGGAGCATTTTCCTGACCCAGATCCGTGTTTTCGACCCTCAGAGCTATAGAGAAGACCCGGTTTGATCTCCCCATCCGAGGGACACTTCCAGTCCCTGGCATCGCGCTTCTCCCCCATAGTACAGACAGTGAAACTGAGGCCTAAGGAAGGGCAAAGACACCCATAGAAAGCTAGGAGGTACAGATCAGGCAAACACTGGGGGTTCTCTGTCCGGGGCTTGGAAGCTTTAATCTGCCTAGGACGAGGGCTTGGGGCACAGGGTTTGAGCAAACCTTTCCCGGATCGATCGAGCCTGCCGACTCTGTCGGGTTTCCCCCTGGGCGGTCCCCAGATAATAATAGATCTCATTTGTTGAAGGCTTTACAGGCATAAACTCATTGAATTCCCACAACAGACCAAAAAGGCACGTAAGATCACCCCCCATTTTACAGGTGAGGAAACGGACGCCTTGATTGAAATGAATCAACCTGTCCACGTCCACGCTGCTAATGAAGTAGCTGAACCGTAATTACTTCAGAGCCTATGCCCTTATCCTTGTATCCAAACCTCTCATCAAGTGGCGACGCGTGTCTCCCGCATTCGCCTGGCGCTTGCCCCTCCAACAGTCACAGATCCTCTCAGCTCTCAAGCCCCTAGGTATCCTGGATGACAGAGGAGCTTGGGTGCAAGTTGCCTCCTGAGGGCAGGCAGCAGACGGGAGAGAGAAGGGGAAAGGGCTCTGAAAAGTCCTAATGCTCTCACTGGATGCGTATTCCCGCGGTCAGATACAGACGCGCGTCCCCCTGGGCCGCCCGAGAGAGAGCACTCCAGGGTCCGGCCCAGCTCCAGCCCTGATTCTGCCATATTTGCTATGTGAACTCCGGTCAGCCGCTTCTCCCAATCCTAGCTGAGGTCTCAGAGCTCCAGGCGCACGCAACGTTGCCTAATTGAGATACACTAAACACAAGGCTTTGCGGGGATGCCCGCGACACCTAAGGGAGGGCAGAAATTTGGATACCTGTGGATATGCATTAATGCAGGAAGACCATATGACCTTGGCATGACCATAAATAGCTAAAAGTTAGTTATTCTGAGCCGGGAGAATACAGTTAGGGGCACTACCGGAACGGGTCTCCCAGTCCGAGGCTATCCCCAAGAGCAACCCTACCCCACCCCTGTCCCTTCCCTATAGTCTTCCCACCTCTGAGACTGGAGAGTGATCAGGGAAGGGCTCTTGCTCCCGCAGGAGAAGGAGGCTCCAGGGTGAGAGAAGGGAGTTTCCGCCTGTTTGGAAGTTAGTATCCCTTCCACAATGCAAGCCCGAGTGCAAGCCTCTGAGACCAACTAAGATTTGGAGGGGAAAGGAAAAGGGAGTAGGCCTGTTTGCTCAGGGGGGAGTGGGAGAAGGGAAGAGGAGTTTAGCAGACAAGCTCGAGATACCCAAGTCACAAAAAGTTCCCGCGTGTATTGTCCTTTGAGGCACAATCCACTGGATAATTTACATATTGCTCGTTGGAGGTTTTTGTTAGCTACCGAGATGCGAGATGCATGGGATGTGAGTGTGCAAATGTGTTTGTATGAATGAAGAGTGGCTGCATATTTGTGGACGCGTGCGGCATGAGCATGTGTCGGTGACAGAGCGCACTTGGGTGCGTGTGCGCACGTGCTTACAGAGGATTGTTGCACACAGGAGTGAGTACACGTGTGCATGTGTATAGTATGTGCATGTGTCACGTGTCTCGTTTATAAGTGGGCGTGCGCGTACACAAATACGAGTGTTTGTGTGCAAGAGCATTGTACACTTGAGTGAGACTGCGCTCACACGTGTTTCGTGTGTCCATGGGGGCATGTAAAACTCAGCAAAGAAGTCCCCAAAATCTCAGGTCCGGTCAAAGGAAAGGCGTAGGCACGACGCAGACTGAGCGCCCCAGGACAGGCGTCAAAACTGTTGCTCCTTGGGCCTGTAGGTAGCAGAGAGCCGCCGATGGGGCGCAGGACCCGCTCGAAGGCAGCGGGTTAAAGACCAGCTCGGCTCCGGGCAGGCGAAGGGGGCTCCCGCCGGGGCCCACAAACTACCTGGACTGCGCTCGCAATGATCCCTGCTGAACAGTTCCGCGCTCTAAATTATTCCTCGCGGACAGTTTCTGATTATTGATGCCGCTAAAAGAGACAGCTCCCGGGTTATTTGCTTATGTATTTATTACCTTTATCACTGTCATTATTTGGTGGCTGTATGAAGATGGTGCCAAACCCACCAAGACCGTCCCGCCCCGCCTCTCGGAGGCCTCCCTCCGCTGGCAGAGACTCGCGAGCGTACGAGTCTTCTCCTTACGTGGAGCCACAGCGCCACCTCGCGACCTCCCAGCGTTCCACGTCGCAGGAACCTCTAGGTTGCCCAAAACTCGCCTTGCCTCCGCACCTTAGCACACGGAATGCCTTCTACACCCTTCACCCCTAGAGAAGCTCCGCTCCCCTTACAATCACCGGCTCAAAAGTCACCTCTTCCGTGAAACCTCTCCAAACCCCTTTTAGACGGTCACTAGTGCCTGTCCTTGATTCTCCTAGTGCTCATATCACGTTGGACAGAAAATATTGTTTAAATATCTCTCCCCTCCCTAATCGGGGGAGCTCCCCAACAATGAATATGGTTCCTTACAGCAATGACAATAAAAATAATAAGAAGAAAACCTAGTATTTACTGAGCACATACTATGGAGTATCTTAAGCAATGTACTGTGCTAAGCACTCTACCATTATCTCACTTAATTTTTCCAGGAAAACCATGAAGTAAGCATCAATATAATTTCACAGTTTGCAGAGGAAGCTATAGAGCACCTTTCCAAGGTCACATTGCAGAGCCCAACCCACGTCTGTCTGATGCCAGAGTCCATCTTTCTTAACTTTTATGCCTTGTAGACTTATTTAGCTCTATATCCATAGGCTTTAAGACAGGACCAAGCACAGACTGGGAATTCATGTACTTATGAATAAGTGAACCATCGACAGTTTAAATTCTTTCTTCTGCAGGAGAGTTGGGCTAGAAAAACACCGGTATTACCAGGTACCATGATTGAAATGTTACCACAATGATTTATCCCAAAAGATTATTTCATTACTAACTAGCTAGGTGATCTTGGTCAAGTCATTTCGTCCTCAATTTTCTTATTTGTGGAAGGAGGTGTGCTGTGAGGATTAAATGAGGAAAAACTGTGAAGTACTTGATGCTCGTACTGTAGTCAATACTCAATAAAAGTTTGGTATTGGTATAATTATTAATTACAGTTTAAAAAACAAAAGCACAAAACACAAAATTGACTTAACCCTATTCACACAGAATTCACCGTACCGCTCTATAAAATTATCTCACTGTTATATCTTCATTTTCATCTTGGATATAAAATATGTAATAAAATATGCTTAGTTTATTGTGGCTGGGGTGTTAATATTAACTCTGCTCTGTTATAAAATTTTAAGGGGCAAGGAGGAAAGATATAATTAAACAGTAAATCAGTATACTTTGACTTTCACCCTTTCCTCTTGCTTTGTAGATTTTTTTTTTTACCAAGAGAGATTTAAAGAAAGGTTACAAAAGTGCTTATTATTCTGGAAAGTACAAACCTCTATTTTTTAATTTAGGGGACATTCTGAGCTAGTTTAACTTTTCCCCACTTGAAACACATTGTTGCTAGTAATATATTAAAAGTTCAAAAATATGTATCTAAGCAAATGATTGTACCCAAATAAAAGAAACAAATGAGGGTTGTTGAAACATATTCCAGACCTTCAGACATTTCCCCAAAAGGTTAAATTTTAAAGGTTCAGGGTCTCTTTTTAGAATGACCCATTAAACAATTACTCCTCTTAGCAATTTAAGTGAAAATGAACTTCTCTGTTTGGTTGGGCTATAACTTTCCTACTATCAAATTATTTTAGAAAGACTGTTGACTAGTGTAGTCATGTCATAAAGAAGCAATTTCTCCTCTGAGAAATGAGTAATAAAATCCACAAGAGGCAAAAATGTGCCTCCCATTTAGATGGCCCACAATGCATTTCTAGAAACTTCATCCCAGCCCCAATTTAGTTTAGTTCGTTTGTACCTGCTTCCTATTCTGTGCAATATTCTTGTAGATGAAGAAATGAGTTCAGGAAAATTTTACCTGCAGCAAATTAATATGTTAAATTATTTTATTGTAGAGCTGGCAGATATTCTCCTGAGTGGAGATTTCATTAATATTGCTGGTATGAGACACTGGCTTTGTTGTCATTTGGGGAAGGGAGGCTGTTCTGTTTTCTTCTTTTTTATTCATAGTATGGTGGCCATTAGAGATGTTCACCAAAATTATGGTTTTTCTTCTTCCAGGTACATAACAAGGTTGAAGTATTCTGAAGTAACAAGGTCCGCATTTAGATGTGACCCTGTGATTTGATTTGACAAATGAGGAATTAGCAAAAGTAGTGTGTGTTACTTATAAGCAGAAGCTTTAAGAGCAACTGTGCAATTCACCAAATCCCCTTCCCCATGCCACAGTTGCTGGCGATCCCCAGATGGAGTTCCCTTTAGCCTATTGCCCTTTGCAAAGATAATGTGGAGTGGGACCCCTCCAGTCCCTAGTGGACATATAGCATGAATTGGAAATAATCTTTTGTTACTGTTCAGTCCCAGAATTTTTTTTTTTTTTTTACTGCAGCATAACCGAGCCTCTCCTGACTAATATGCCTAGGAAGGTAGCTCATCTTCCTTTTCTTTCAGTGGACAGTGTGAAAATCCTTCTCCTAGAGGGAAAAGTAAACTGCCACCTCTAATTAAACAGAAGAATCAGATCATGAATGTATCCAACCTGAAATTGGCATCTTGTTTTCTTATTCAATTCATACATTCCCTGTGGGTCAGAATATTATTTAGAAAACTGAGACATGGGGGAAACAACTGAATTTTAGCAATGCTGAAAAGGAATGTCAAAATCACTGCTTGCACCCCCACAAGAATTCCCAGCGAACCCTTGGCTCCCTTGCAGATACACAATGAAGGGAGTTTCAGAAGCGCTGATGAGAAAAGACTTTATTAGCAATTGCAGGAGAGAACAGAGAAACATTTCTTCCCCCATGGTGTTCATTTCTATAATTTCAGGTTGGCGAATGGGGAAAATACCTAGTTAATGACCTTGTGTTCATGGTACATGATCTAGGGTGAGTCAGTTCACTTTTCCAGACCTTACTTTCTTCCTTTGGAACAGGGGTCTGCAAACTTTTGAGACCGAAGAGACCCCAGGGGTCAACAAACTGTGGCTCACGAACTGTGGCTCTGAAGTAAAATTGAAAATGACAATAAAACTATCATAGTTTCATGTATAAAATTTTTAAAGGATATTATTCACAAAATGGTGATTATGTAAAAATATATTTATGGCTCTCGAATAATTTTTAAATTGTTGTGAGGGACAGGATTGGCTCTTCCAGGGGTCGGCAAACTTTTGAAATGGAACGTACCCAAAGAGCTGTATGTGGCCCGAGAGCCGCAGTTTGCCAATCCCTGCTCTGGAAAATAAGCGTTAGACAAGATCAGGATGCCATCCGGTTCTACTAAGCAAGGATTTGGAGATATTTGGATGATTAGCAGTTTTAGGAGTCAAAGCTCCAGTGTAGACTCTCCCTGGGCGCTTATCCTCAGCACTATTTTGTGAAACATTTTTTTAGTTTTTTCAATTCTGATCCCAACTTAACACAACTGCTTCTTCGGCAAGATAGATAGTGCTTCTGTTCTTCAACCTCATTTTCTTTTTTTAATGTGGGAGCCTGCTGGAAAAGTGGGCCATATAGATTTGGAGTCATGTAAAATGCTTTGTCATTTTCTAGCCAAGAGGAAAAAATTTGCTTTTTTATTGGAGAACCATTCTTTTCAGGTTTCATTATCAGATCACCTAAGGACATTTCTTTTGAATTTTCAGGAAACTTTTGTGAAAAACTATTGATTGCGTGACAAGCACTGTAAGGTGAAATCATTACGATCTGTTCTTTCTCTTTAGTGTGGCGTGATTGATTGCCAGAAACAATACTATCACCTTCATTTGGATAATAATTTACAATTGAGGGAAAAGGTCTCACATGAGTTATTACCTTGACTCTTCTCAACAAACCATACCACTGCCATTTCTCCCCCATTTCACAGGGGAGGAGCTGAGGTGTAGATTTCTCCGTGCCACGTGGCTAGTAAGCAGCAGGGTTTGGCTGTAACCCAAGAGCCACAGCTTCCTATGAAATTAAGAAAGCTGTCTGCAACTTCACTAGGAAATAGAAAGTGTCACAACCAGGCCACAGCCCGCCCCCCCCCCCCCCCCAGCTGCTGGTAAATACCTTCTCCCCCTCTCCCCTTTGCAGAAAGATGCAGGGGACTTTCTGTTGCAGACATTATTGCTGTTACCTGATCCCCGTTTTCTCTCTCCTCTGGGCACTCAAAAAGATTGCAGTCCTCTCCTTGAAATCAGGTGTGGTCATCAGACTTCCTTGAACCAGAGCATATACTTAGAGGTGAGGCAAACCCAGAGTTACCACTCCCCTCAACCACAAGTATTCCTGAGGGTAGATCCATCAGTTTGGGTCCTGCTGTCACCATCATGATGACATCATGATCTTTACCAGTATGCAACTGATTTAATGCAAGTAAGTGGGTTAAGCCACTGGGATCTGGGGCTTGCTTGTTACTGCACCTTAATTTAGTCTGTCCTGACTGGTACCGACCATTTCCTAAGCCGAATTTAAGTCTTTTGTAAAACAGAACTATTTTCCTATCAACCTGAGTCATGTACAGATACCTATTAAAGAGAAAATAGTCTTCTGGATCCCTTGGGTTTTATTTACATTAATTTTACTCTTCTTCTTAAGTTTGTGCAAGCGTAAGACTAGGAATACATTCTTTATGCATATAAACACTTAAACAACTGTGAAGCCAAATTTCAAAGTTAATGAAAAAGAAAAAACCCCACAAGACCAAAGATTTATAAATGAGCAATAATAAAATGTGCTGGATGACATTGTTTTTGAGGAAACTAAATTGCCACTCAAATGTCAACAGGGTGCAGCATTCAATAAAGTAGGTTCTTTGGGGGCGTGGCATGTCTATATAATTATGCCCTGAGTAATGTCTCAATCCTCCTACCACTTTCCTCTTTCTTTGTTGCCTTACAGCCGATTTCCAAGACCACCCCCTCTGCATTAGCCCCTGACCCTATTAGTCTTGAGAGAGTGTCTCGTATGACCGAAGCCCGGTGGAATGATATTGGTAAAGCTCTCTCAGGGCGTGTCTCGGTATGACTGGGACCTGATGGAATGATATCAGTTATCTCCCCTGGGAGGACACAGTAAACAAGGTGCCCTGGGGCTGTGTGGTGATGTATGAAGGCATAGCATTTGTTGGAATACAATGGGATGGGTTAATGGAAAACAGCCTTAAGGCACACAATTCAACACGGTTACTAATTTACAGCAGTTTTACTTCTTTGAAAATTCTCAATAAAAACCATGTGCTGAACCGATTCGGGGCTCAGTCTTCTCTGGCTGAGTCCCTTGGTCTTGCTCTTATCTTACTTTTGTCTCTTGTTCTTATTCAATCTGCGTCGCTCCTCTCGAGACCCATTTGCCCTTGCCACGCAGGACGTGACATTTCTTAACTACCACAAAGCTTCTGTTAATTCATATGGGTAGGAAAAGCTTAAAGGAGTCATTTTACTATCAAATCTACCTCTGTCCCTTCCTAAACAGCCTATGAAAGTCAAGAATCACTTTTGGCACCAATAAACACGAACTAAAATTAGAAATTGGAAATTTTGTGTTGCTACTCAGTTTTAAAATAATTACCCAGATAAGTCTGACTATGCTTAACTTTTTAAGATTATCATTGAAGTGAAAGCCCTAAACTTCTCAATTCGTATCAAAATCTAAGAATCTTTTCACTTTCAAAAATATAGTTCATATGTCACTAAACTGTACATTTAAAAATGGCTGCAGTGGCACATGTTATATATATTTTACCACAATTAAAAACAATTTTTTTTTTTAGAAACAATAGCACAGGCTTCAGAGCAAGATGTTCTGTCTAACCCTCACTCACACTATTTTGATGCTGGGTGACCCTGAGGCAAGTTGCTTAACCTCTGTGACCCTCAGGTACCTCATCTGCAAAATAGTACTGAACTTATCTTAAACTGTTTTGAGGAACAAAGAGAATAGAGGGAGTGGAAGAGTCTAGCGCAGTACCAGCCTGGAGAACTGCTATGTGTTTTCCTTCTGAGCCATGGCTACACTGTATTTCTCAGCTTCCCTAGGAGGTAGATCTGGCTTTATGGCTGAGTTCTGGCCAACGAAACATAGGTGGAATTGATGGAAGACATAGTTCATGAAAACCTCCCACATAATCTTCTCATCTTCTGC